CCATCACATCACCGCCGCCGCCATCATGATTCTCACGGTTTAAATTACAACTTTATTATTATTATTATTAAATAAAATTAATTTTGATTTCCCGCGTTTCGTGGAAACGAAAAAAAATTACTTAATTTCAACAATAATAATAATAAAAATAAACAAAAGAAACGAAACGAATTATTATTATTATTATTATTTCACGACTACCATCATTTTTTACAAGATACCTTAAAAAAAAAAAAAATCACTCATTTTCCTTTTTTTTCTCGGGTACCTACTCAAGATTTTTACGTTAATTTTATATAAAAAAAAGTTGAAAAAAAAACCACACCGACAAATCATCTGAAATATCTTTTAATTAAAAAGTCTGAGTACCAAAATTTTAAACGTGAGAAAAAAAAAATCTCAACAACAACAACAACAACCACAACCACAACAACAACAAAAACGATTGGATGGAGAAGCAGAAGAAAAAGAAAAAAAAACCTCTTAGCCTCTTGAACAACCGAACAACCGTCGGATGAATTCTTTAGTTTTTTTGTCATCTTTGAATATCTTTAAAAAAATTTTTTTTTTTTTTTTTTACAGGTTCGTCATTTTCTTTTTCTTTCGAAATGCCAACTCTTAAGAGGTCAAAAAAGAAAAGGTTCGAAAGGCACGCCGTAATAATAATAATAATAATAATAACAACGTGAAAAGTGTTTGTGGTTAACGCGCGAGCTCGCGTATAATTTTCGATTATCGAATTAAAATGATTTTTCGTCCAAGTAGTAATTTATACGACAAACAAACAAATACAAACAACAACTTTAAATAATAATAATAATAATGATAATGATAATGATAATAATAATATAAAAAACGCCGCGTAAATTTAATTAAACGAAACATAAGCGAAAGTTTATAATTAAAAGATACATACACGCATCCCTTTTTCGCGTTTTTTTCTCTCTCTCTCTCTCACTTCACGACGACGCTTTTCATTTTTCGCAAAACGAACGCGTTTTTTACTCAACCGGAAACGGATGATGTGACTTTTTAAAAAACGCGCGAACGGATTTAATCATCATTTAATCATTTCCGAAACTAGTAGTAACAAAAAAAAATAAGGCAAATTTTACTTTTTTTCAAAAAAAAAAAAAAAAAACGCACGCGTACGCTTCTCTCTCTCTCTCTCTCTCGTACGCACGCATAAGTGAAAGCTTTCACTACACGAATTCAATTATTAATAATCAATAAAATATTATCAGGAAAAGTGATAAAAACGTTGACACACACATGATTCTTCTTCTTCTCTTTTACAATCGGTAATAAAAACAAAAAAAATTTTAATTGCGATCATACTACTTTCTTACCAACGTAAAAAAAAAAAAAAAAAAAATACTAACGTTTTTCATTTACTCATTTTTTTTGGGGAGGGGGAGTTGGGGGGATATTTATTAACTATTATTATTATTCGTAAAAAAAAAAAAAATTTCCCCTGAAATACAAAACGGAAAATCCCAATCGAGATTGGATTCGTTTGAAAAAATCATTTCAAGGTGATGAAAGTATAATCAACCATTTTTTTTTTCATCATCGCAATTAATTACACGGGGGGAAGAAGGGGGAAAGAGGGGGGGGGGGAGAGTAGAAGGAAGAAGGAAAAAGGAAAAAGGAAGACGAAACCGAATATAAAACCAGGGGAAAAAAATTATTTAAAAATTTTTATACACGAAAACAAAAAGCAAATAAGTAAATTTTTTCCAACTGCCAC